TATTTTTATATGTCATATATATATTTCTAGAAGAGTAGGGATTGTCATTTCCAGGCTTGTAGTAACTGAGAATGATGAAGGTGATATCTAATGGGAACTCTTCCACTCATTTACCATGATGTTTATGTCACACTTCTGGGCTTCAATAGCAATGCTACTGAAATTATGACAGGACAATGAACTGTGGAAATTAACCTCTGGGGAGTCTGTTGCAATGAGGGGAATGTTTCCTCTTTGGCAAGTGTGTAGCAACATTATAAACACATTTGTAAAGAACACATTTACATTATTACTACCGTGCATTAAGTAAGCTGTCTCCAGTTCTGTGATAAAGAGAGTCATAACATTTTTGTGAATTGTATTTTTTCACAAATGTAATGGAATTGCTTAATCATAACATCTTTCTTGCATTACTCCCTATTTGAGTTAGGCTCAACTTTTGATACAATGCAAGACTCGAATCCAGATTGATCCTAGGGATGGGGTAACTGATTAAGACTTTCAAAGCAAAAAAAAATATAAACAGCTTGTAGCTTGAGGTTCAAAGTATCACAGGTTTGCAACATTGTTAAGTTTACACAGTCACTGCACTGGCTGTAACACTCAGAGCAAAAGCAAGAAATTCTGTCTTTTTATTATTTCTAGCCAAGCATCACATTGCTCTTTCCCTTGATGTGATTTACAGTTCTCAGTTTCCTGTCAGATTCCATTCTCTTAATGTTGGAGAAATAAAGAGCCCTTTGGCACACTATTATATGTTAAAAGGAACAGCTGCCTGTAACTCAACATGATACATGATGCACTACAGTGTGTTTCTGGCAAAAGTACAGCAGTTAGTGGAGGACAGCCGCTCCAAACAAATTTACCTTTTTAGGGAAGACTGTAAGGTGGTAATCAGCAGGAGGTTTCCTTGCCCATGTTTAATCTGATGCCATGCTATTTCATGGATTCAGAATCAATGTTGAGGACTCCCAAGGTAACTCCTTCCTGATTGCAAATTGCTGTTCTGTTGGTGGGACAAGACATAGACAGGATGGTGATAGAGGTGTCAGGAACATTGTCTGTAAGGTATGGTTTGGTGTGTGTTCCTATGGCAGATTTTTACTTGACTAGTCTGGAAGACAACTCTCATAATTTTGACACAGTCCCACAGATGTTAGTCAGATGGACTTTGCTGGGTTGTCAGGGTTGCCTGTGTTTATTCTCAGTGCTGAGGGGTCTCTCTGTCTGGAACCAAACTCATAGATGTGGGTCTAAAACCATTGCTAACTCTGTTTCTTAACCACTGACTATGTCTCTTTCCTTGGAAATTATCTGAAGCAGAACCAGGTGTTTGCAACTTTGCTGTCAGATTTGACCCTGAGATGAGCTTTTGACTACTGAGATATCCTGGACCAGCACTGAGCCTCTGACAGCACCTTCCAAACCCACAATCTCTAGCATCTGGATGCATGGGGACACCACCACTTGCAGGTTCTCCTCCAAACTACACACTATTCTGGCACAGATCTGTATTATCATTCCTTCAATGTTGGTGGGTCAAAAACCTGGAACTCTCCTACAGTATTGTAGCTGTACCTGCACCAAGGGAACTGCAGTTGTTCAAGATGGAGTCTCACAGCCTCCTTCTTAAGGGTTATTAGGAATGGGCGATTGTATTTCCAATGGGTGTGCACAAAGCTGGAAGATTTTAACCAGTTACTGTCCATTTCAGGCATCAAAGGCTAACAATCTATATTAAATGGACTGTAATATTGTAACAATGTCACTGAAAATACATTCCTTGGGGAGATTTTTAACCACATGCTGCTCAGTTCCTGCCTTAAAAATGACTGAGTGGCCAGTGGAATCTTATGTGAATCTTGGACACCATTTGTCAATTATTCAATTTGTAGCCAAGCCTTTGGAGCGGCATTGCAGCCTCACAGCGCCAGGGACTGGGCCTTGATTCTATCCTCAGGTAACTGTCTGTGTGGAGTTTGCACATTCTCCGTGGGTCTGTGTGTGTTTCCTCTGGGTAGTCTGGTTTCCTCCCACAGCCCAAAGATGTGCAGGTGAGATGCATTCACCATGCTAAAGTGTCCAGGGATGTGTAGGGAAGGTGGATTAGCCATGGGAAGTGCAGGGTTACAGGGATAGGGGAGGGAGGGTAAGGCTGGGAGGGTCGGTGTGGGCTTGATGAAACAAATGGCCTGCTTCCACACTTTAGGGATTCTATAATGATTCTTTCAATGGGAATCCAACAGTCATAGTCAAGATGGACATGGGGCTGGTTGAGAATGTACTTGTGTGCCAGTTATCTTTTACATAGAAAAATGGACAGAGTATATGAAGAGCATGTTGGTTTCAGTGTTATTTGGCTTTGCGCAGCCTAATAAGTGATCTTCAAAGAGACTGCTCTGTAAAAGTGCACTTCTGTTTTTGTTTGAGACCTTTTCGGGGGCTCAAAAAGACCATCTGCCTCACTGCTACTGCTTTCTTACTGACCATCCCAAACATTAAAACTCTCCACACCCTCATAAACTGTCCATTGTCTCTAAGGTCTGAAGTCATTGAGCTGCTCTTGTTTTTATTTTGCCAGCTACAGCTCAGTCACATAATGCCCAATCCTGAAAATTGTTGAGGCCTTCACATTGTGCCCTCTTAGGCAGGGAATTGTGGGCAAACCATCAATATTGTGCCCATTTTAGCCTTTGACGGAAGATCTGAACCACTTTATCTACAGCCTGCCACCCAACTACCACCCCCTCAAACGCTGCCAATCATCTGCCATTTGTAGTTCCTGTAAGCTGGTGGATCAACCTGAAAATATTCTGAAGATGATAAAATATCTTCAGAAACCTTTCTGATAAAATGATACTCAGGAATGTGAAAAACAAAACATATACAAATTTACAGCGGCCCATGCACAAATTTTGCTGTGTCAAATGTAGCAATTTATGTTTCTTCTTCCCCATGTACTACAGCAGCTGTACTTGTCAAAATGCATTCCCAGTGTTTGTTTTTTCACCTCAGTGCAAAACTCAGAACTGCTTTAGTGCAAATCTGAATGGAGGTGCAGCAAGCCTGAATACTCTTTGATGCAAGATTAATGATGGTTTGAGCTAACTTACAGGTTTATGTTCACTATCCAGGATCTGTCTCACCCCAGTGCCTTTGTGGGTGGGTGAGATATTTTGGTTATGTACTCGCCTGATCAGTAGATCTAATATATACAAGCAAGGTACATCACAACAAGCTGACTTGCAGTCTCAGGAGAAGTTTTTCTCAGTGTTCCATCTTTAACCCATGCTGATGTGCCTTGGTACTATTCTTTGCTGGCACCAATGCCTTGGAAGTGTGTTTGAAACAGACTGATAGTCAAAAGAATTAACATTGCATTGAAATTCTGACCTGTGTATCTTGCTCAGCCAATCAATCTAAACCAGGAAAGCCATCCTGTGCCTCCTGCACAAATTTATAGGACAGTGACTTTGTTTACCGGTTTAACCCTGCTTGACAGAAGGCAAAGTCAAAAATCACACAACAGGTTGTAGTTAAACAGGTTTATTTGAAAACACTTGCTTTCAGAGCTCTGCTCCTTCCTCAGGTGTAGTGTAGAAGAGGAGGTATACCGACACAGAATTTATAAGCAGAAAGGTAACAACCTTAAAAATGGCTCATTGATGGCTTCCTGTTGAATGTTTAACCAGTTAGAAAGGAGATGCAGGTTTCTATTGATTAAAATATAAATCCCAGAATTTCTTTCAAGTCATTGTCCAGAGATAATTAAAGGTTTATCAGTATATGCAAGAGGCGACATCTTAGGTTGGACAATGCATTTTAGGTGTGAAGCCTTGTTTAGAATCAGTCTGTATTTAACCTGGAGTCAGGCTGGTTTTTTTTTTTGCACAAAATAGAATGTATCTGCAAATACACAAACATCTTGAATGAAATAATTTACCCCATAGATGTGTGTGTGTGTGTGTGTGTGTGTAATATTTCACTGAGACAGGCATTAAGGACTAAGAATGTAAGAAATATTAAAACCTCCTGCACTAAGCATAATAACATTTGAGGCAGTGTTCAGTGAATTTACTTCCATTATCTGAATATACTGTATGTGAAATCTAGGTGAACATAAAGAATTTATAGAATTACATTAAAAACACTTCCGATTGCAAGTCTACTCACTCTGCAAAGGCTTAAGTGAGATCCTTTTGGAGGGGCTCAACCTGATTAATTGTTGGCATGAATTCATGTCACAAAATTTCCATAAGCAGATCTTTATTTCTAATGAATTAAAATTGGAAAACTGCACTTTCAGCATGAAATTTGGCAGGAAATACTAACAAGGCTTGATAAATAGAACATGAAACAGTTCCTTGGAGTACTCATTTAATGGAGGAAGTTAGTGTGGTTGGGACTTATAAACACACTTCGCAATTCTTGGTGTTGTGAAATGAATATCATTACAGATTTGTATGTAACAAAAAAAATGTACAATTTTAGCCCTCTTTATTTGGAAGAGGAGCCAGTTTATTCTGACTTTGATGTGGGGAGAGGTCAAAGATTAAAAGAAAACCGTCAGAAAGAAGATACTTAAACCTTTTGAAATATGCTTCAGTAGAGGCTGGGACGCACCCATTCAATTCTTGCTACTCAGTACGGAAAGAACTAATTTGGGGAAAAGAATAAATCAGCAACTTGAGAAGGATATAAATGCAGAAATACAAATAACTATATTTCTCTCTGAGCAGTATATTTCAGCATCATTTACCAGAATAAGAATTCAAAATAGATTTCCATAGAATCTTGGGGATAATTCTGAACGTAAATTGCAAATCCGTGTAGGATTGTATGAATTTCCAATGTGGAAGAATTGTGTTTACCGTGCCATTTGGGATGTTGCTGGTTTGTTTTGTATGAGAGGAGGACTGCTGAATTGGATTTTGTTCTGTGTGTTTCTTGATTAAATCTGTCTTTACCACTGTTTCTCTGTTCTGCTTTCCGCTGTTCAGAGGATCTGATGTGAGGTAAGACCAAATGTATCATTTTTCAGTCTCAACTTAGTCATTCACATTCGTGTACTAGTTATTTCATTGGTAAAGATGCAAAAATGAAATCTGGAATACTATGGTAAGATGGCAATGTGATACATGAGTGGAATGGTGTGTTTTTGGTGATGCAGTATTCTAATAAACATGTGGTTGGTGAGTTACATAATGTAACAATGTGACCTTCTTGAGATGGTGAAGTAGTGAGATGTCTTTATGACATGTAATTTTTGCATGAAAAGTTTTGTATAAATGCAAGTCGTTCTTAGCATTCAGTTGCAATGGTAACTGTTGGTGAGATGAACTGGTCTTGGTTGATTGCCTGCAGGAGACAAATGATTAATAGATTTTTCAGAAAGGATATTCACTACTAACTTAAAAGGAAAAAGGAGGCATGCGTAAGGTTTAGGGAACTGAAGACAGACAGAGCCCTCAACGAATATAAAGATTGCAGGAAAGGACTCAAACAAGGAATTAGGAGGGCCAAAAGGGCCACAAAATGTCTTTGGCAGACAGGATTAAGGAAAATCCCATATATAAGGAGCAAGACAGTGTCCAGGGAAAGGGTAAGTCCAGTCAAGGACATGGGAGGCAATTTGTGCGTGGAGCCAGAGGAAGTGGGTAAAGTCCTTACCGAATAATTTACATTGGTATTCACAAAGGAGAAGGATATGGTGGATGGTGAGAGAGGTATGTTGATATTCTGGAGCATGTCAAAATAAAAAAAGATGTTTTAAAAAGAATTAAGGTAGATGAGTCCTCAGGACGTGATGGGATCTACCCCAGAATGCTGAAGAGACAGGTGAGGAAATTGCTAGGGCTTTATATGAAATCTTTGTATTCTCTTTAGTCACAGAAGAGGTCACAGAGCACTGTTCCTTTGTTTAAGATGGACAACAGGGATAATCCAGGAAATTTCAGGCTGCTGAGCTTTATGTCAGTGGTAGGGAAATTATTGGATTCTTAGGGATAAGATTTACTCACATCTGAAAAAATATATGGGCATATTAGCAATAGTCAGCATGGCTTTGTATGGGGAAGGTTGTGTCGCCAAACTTGATTGAGTTTTTTGAGGAAGTGACAAAGATAATTGATGAGGGCAGGGCAATAGATGTTATCTATATGGACTTTGGCAAGGCCTTTGACAAGGTCTCTCATGGCAGGCTGATACAAAAGGTAAAGTCAAGTGTGATCCGTGCTGAACTGATAAAATGGATACAAGCTTCAATGAATGGTGAAACAGGCTCAAGGGGCTGAATGGCTTAAGCATAGAAAACAGAGAGTAGCAATGGAAGGGTGTTTTTCTGACTGGATATCTGTGGCCAATGGTGTTCTGCAGGGATCAGTGCTGGGACCCCTGTTGTTATATATATAAATGATTTGGAGGAGAATGTAAGTGATCTGATTAGTAATTTTGTGGATGACACAAAGATTCAATGAGCTACGGATAGTGAAGAGGATTGCCAGAGAATACAGCAGGATATAGATAGGCTGGAGACTTAGGCAGAGAAATGGCGGATGGATTTTGATCCAGCTAAATGCGAGTTGATGCATTTTGGAAGATCTAGTGCAGGAGGGAAGCATACAGTAAAAAGCTGAACCCTTAGTAGCTTTGAGGGACCTAGGCATACAGGTCCATAATTTCCTGAAAGTGGTAACACAACTGAATAAGGTGGTTTTGAAGGCATATGGCGTTCTTTCCCTCATCGGTTAGGTATAGAGTTTAAAAACTTGCCAGTCATTTTGTAGCTGTATAGAACTTTAGTTAGGCCACATTTGAAATATTACGTACAGTTCTGGTCCCCACTCTACCAGAAGGATGTGAAGGCATTGGAGACGGTACAGAAACAGTTTACCAGGATGTTGCCTGGTTTGGAAGGTATTATCTATGAAGAGAGATTGGATAAACTTTACCTGTTTTCATTTGAATATTAGAGGATGAGTTGGTTTAGAATAGTTGGATCAAAAGTCTACTCGTCTCAAAGTGTTAATACATTATCATGGAATTATGCCATTAAATGACTGAGTTTGTCTTCTAGTTTGTCTTTCGGAAATCTCACACTTAATATGTTTTATCCTCTTTCCTCCTCCGCAGATTGAAACCCAGTGTTGCAGACGCCTCATTACTTGCCAACGTCACTGAGATTAAAACGCCTTTAAGTACCGCACCAATACAACAATACAGATCTTTTTACTGAAACACAAAAACAAAATCGAAAAACAAAGACACAAGGTAAAAACAAAAAAAATTACATCTGCAAAGACTGCCATGCCCCCTCCTCCACAGGATGTAGGAAATTGCTGCTCTAGAGAAAAGCTTCCACTAGGACATTCTCCACACAACAGCCAGTGATGTACTACGCTGCAAGGACCCTGGATCAAACAGTATGTATTCACCAATCAGGATTGACTTCGCAGACACTAGGTGCATACAACCTTTGTATACAGCACAGTATTGGTATCTGATTCTGTACTTTGTTGTACTTTGACTACACGACTGTAAAGTTGATTTGATATTTTTCTGTACAGAGTTTAAAAATGACAAAATATAAAATGTAAATTCTACTAAATACAGGGTAAGATAGGATTTAGTGGCACATGTATAAAGAATTTTAACAAAAAGTTGCTACATGCCAGAAAGCTTCAGAGTAGATCTTCTGTTATATATCAGGAACAACAGTGGACAGACCATGCAGGCATTTTCAGTTTTTAAAAAAAAACACTATGCTCAAACTGCTTTATAAACTCCTGTCTGCTCCTGGGTTCAAACTGCATTACAGGGCAATATTGATACTGTTCACCCTATCACTCAAAAGACCTGAATTGGTGTAGGCAAGGTTCACTGGTGCTTGTGTTCCAAATAACTCATTTATCCCTTTCTATGGTGTGTCCGGGGTAATGAATGATTCTGTATTAGGCTGAAGAGCAGGCATCTCAATGTGTATATAAAGAATAACACACAGAAAAGGTAATCTGTCTCTGCACTGCTTTCATTGGTCTTCTTCCAACTTATTTCAAATCATGAGTGGAATCTACTCTCTGCCAATAGATTTGGCCCAAAATTAATCAAGAGCTGTGTTGACCTTCAACCTCAGAACTGATCTTATCTAGCCCAAAATGTGACCTGCTTCAATTCTGAGACACCAAAAGAACTCATTCATATTAAACAATCCCTAAACTATTAACCCTCAGTCATATTGATTAGCTTACCTAACTGTGACGGATTTGAAAATCGACACTCACACGGGCCTTAACTTTTGGTGCTAAAATTCATATATATAATGTGCCACTGGAAGGAGGCAGTTTCAGAGAACATCTGGTCTGTGGATCAGGCTGTATGAGGGGAATGGGATTGGGAACACTGGTGTTAATTGAGGGTTCAATCTTTTTCTTTAATTCCTTTATTTTTGAAAGGAAGTAAATTATATCATGACAAATATCTGCTCCAAGGTGCACTAGATACGGAGAAGACATTTTGTACTGTTTCATGGCCAGCTCCAGTCCTTGTACCTCTTTGTCCAACCTCCTTCTCAACATGACTCTTCCCCTTGTTCTCATTCTGAATATGGAGCTGCATCTTCAGGAATTCAAAGAAACGAAATATGAATTTAATGAGTGTCTTCAAGTCACAAGGAACAAATCCTAGCTGCAATCCAGACTGTAATCCTTCTTTCTTCCCCTTGATTCCGACAGTCTAAGGGAGAGCAGAGAGGAGACACAGGCTAGATGTAGCAGATGTGCTGTTTGAGGGGATACATTGAGTAGAAGTGCTGGTCAGGCTCAGCTCGAATTTCACTGCACAGCCTCATTTTGCAGGTGCCTGGCCTTAGAGCAGTTAGATAAGATCATTCAGGTAATTCATGTCACACAACATCCATATCTCCATAACTGCTGCCCTATTTCGGGAAAAAGAAAACAATAATCTATGTTTCGTAGCTCCAGCCTTGGTGGTCACCTTTCATTTTATAAGTGGCCTATGCGCCTAATGGCAGATATGCAGAATGGTCTATGGGCAACACCTGCATTTTGGTTTTCCTAACTTTGATCAAAATGACATGACTGAAATCCAGTTAAGAACCACAATCATCCCAACTGACATCTAAAGCCCAGCTCAAGCTTTACCGGTCATTGTGGTCACAGTGCATCATTAGTGATGACAAAAGCGAATTAAGGTCTGAGTCCAATTTCGTGGCAAACACAACTATTGATCCTGTGTCTCAATAACATGGAACCGTTTCGAATGTACTGTGGAACTTCAGTCCATCAAAAACAAAAAGCTTCAAATATAGATGACTTTATGTGCATTTGAGATACCTTGGTAAGAATCTGGGCCTGTGCACATATTTATGTAACACAAGAGCCCTCAGAGATTTCAGAATGGGTGTGTACATGCCTATGGGATGAAATATGCCTGATACCGTATTGCTCCATATTGGAGCGCACATTGTGTATATCTATCAGAAAATATGTAGAGCAAGCAGATCACAACACCAATCAGCATGCAGTCGGCCATGCCATCTTGGGTTTACCACTCCAGCTAATGCCCTCTTGTAAATTAATCTTGCTGAACACGTATTCAGCAGCAGGAAGACAACTCACACTCCCCACCCCAACTTTACCAAACACCACTGTCCAACCTGCATAATCAATATAAAGGAATCATGAACTATTTACAGGTTAGTTGCTAGTTTATTTCTCCTAACTGTCGGCATGATTCTACAAGGGTTTGGTGCTTTCCTTTTAGTTATTTCAAGTTGCAATGGTCGATAGCATGGTAGGTGCTGAAGGAATTTTTACCGACTCTATAGTTTCTGCACAAAACCAAGTGCTCCTGAACACAGATGCAGCAGGATACATGCCCATAAGAATACAGTATAGCTTGATCAGGTCCAAACAAAGTAGGACAGACTCAAGAGGAAGGAGAGTAGGAGGGGAGCAAGGGATCTTAGCAGAAGATCATAGTCACGCCAGGGGGTGAGGGAGCAATTTTCCTCCCTCAAATTCAGCTTGAAATGCCTCTGTGCTATCATAGAAACATAAAAGCATAGCAAATTTTTCTGCTCCACCATTCAATATGATCATGGCTGATCATCCAACTCAATACCCTGTTCCTGCTTTCACCCCATACCCTTTGATCCCTTTAATCCTAAGAATGGCATCTAACTCCTTCTTGAATCCTTTAAGAAGCAACATCAATGGCTTTCTGTGGCTGTGAATTCCATAGGTTCACCCCTGTCTGAGTGAAGAAATTTTTCCTCATCTCAGTCCCAAATGGCCTACTCATATTCTTAGACTGTGACTCCTGTTTCTGGACATCACAGTCATCGGAAACATCCTTCCTGCATTTACCCATTCTAGCCTTATTAATATTTTGTAGGTTTTTATAAGATCCTCTCCTCATTCTTCTAAACTCCAGTAAATATGATCCACTATCTCTTCAGTAAGCTACATTATTGGGACTCTATACAAAGAGAGATCTCACTACATTTCATCACCTCTTATGAGAAAAAACTGATAGAGCAACCACATGACTTTGCTAGGAATACAGGCATCCCATGGGACAAGGTACCATTGCCTGTATGCTCTTTGCCTTGTACACTCCTCATGCCATGTCTGCCTCATATTGGAACTGAGACAGATTGCACTCAAGAATCCAAATGGTGCAGCAAAGGAGGAGAAGACAGCAGAGGAAATTGGGGAGTAACCTAGACATTTCAAGTCTAGGCTGTCCATAAAGAACTCATCAGAACATGTCTGTACCACAATCCTAATTCACTGTTCACCAACAGTCCTACATTTCACCTTCTTTCAGTCACTGACCCTCACAATGTCTGCTTGTTCACTATGTAAGACACCATGAAGTGAACACTTTAAATCAAATCGCTAAAAAAAAAGTCATGCCATATTGCATATTGAAGCAACTAACACCCTAGTGCATTCTCATAGTGTCTAGATTCTCTCTACACAGTGCTACCCCAACATGCTGACTCTCACTGGAGGAATCAGTGGATGGGCTTTGAGCATGACCCAGAATGGCCAGCTGTGCACTGCACCATTGTAGCAAGGGCAGCAACAGCAGCAGTCTGGGCTGGCAGCCAAGTGAGGGCACTGGCAGATTGGCAGACTGAATCCTGTGCCCGTGCAAGAGGACAGCAGGTTTGGCCTCTAGGGAGCCACTTCCCTCTGGGGGATGATGGAAGGGGTGGGGGTCAGCGTTTCAGCAGTTAGGACTTGGAAAGATTGCTGGACTGCGGTGACACTTGGGCAGTTGATGTTGGTGCTGCAATGAAAGCTGTGGCATCAGCCATCAAAGATTACATTCATGTTCAGGTCCAGAACTACATGAGGACTGATGGCCTGCTCCTTACGTGCAATCAATGGGCACATCGCAACCCTAATCAGCACTTACTACGTTTTTGAGCCAGTCCCCGGTATTTTTAAGCAGTCGCAAAGTTTAATACCGCAATGAACTATTCTTAAACAAAGAACTCAAGGCAGATCTCATGCAGACCACAAAAGGCAAACCAACTTTTATTCCAACATAACAATTCTTATCAATTGCCACAGGAGAAAGAGATGAAACCCTTTACCTGAGACAGTCCAGGTCAGAGCTGATAAACTGGTTCCTGCCAAAAAATAGACGTGCTTTTATTTTTGCATTTCTTTTCAACAACTTCCTTCACAAATTGGACTTATCAGTGTATTTAAGAGTAAAGTTTCAATCCCATTTCATAAACAGCTGGATCCATTGTCGATGGGGGAAATAATCTAGCCTTTTTAAAAGGGTGTATGAATAGTCATAAATCATAAAAGTTAACAAGGTGGAAAATGGGTTTAAATTAATCCATGCCCTACTTTAAGCAGTTTCCTTAGAGCTGTCCTAGAAATGACTGATCAAAGGGGCTTCAGTGAAAATGTTAAAGGTATCTCTCTGCCTATCCTGTAATGGGGCAAGTGAACAAATGCACCTGACATTTTGTCAAAGACACGATAGATACGTGACAGCAATGCTTATAACTGAGGGTCAGCACGGTGTACAGAGCATAAATATCTTCAAATCAGTGAATAGTATGTTTGTGAAAGCAGACTTTATCTCAAGTCCATGCACTGATTAACTTGTTAATAACACAAGCCTGTTGAAGGAAAGGAGAACTGCTCTGCTCAAGTTAGCAAAGGTCCTGCTGAATAATATGATTTACAAAGAGAAATCAGTGGGTGAAACTTTTTTATACAACACTCGTGGAGAAATATCAACAGAAACAATAGACCATATTCTCATAACCTCAAGGTATGTCACTGAAGTGTTTTTCTTTAAATTTCTTTGAATATGAAAAGTTAGCAGAGCATCTTTTCAAGGAGACTTACCATTCCCCTAATCCATCATTTATCCTTTCCAAAAGTTAGTTAACAATTAATTGACTGTCCAAACCTAAAATCCCTAGTTAGAGATATGTGATATATTCATGTGAGTGAAGACATTTTTAACTTACTATTCTTGTTTTGAAAGACATTTCTTGTATCCAGTAATTATTCTATTTTCAATTATCAAGGTCAGCCCAATGATCATGGTGTGCTTTTCATCTAGGAACATAGGAACAAGGCTAGGCCATTCGACCCATCTACCTACTCCAGGAAATGCACCAGGATGTAAGTTGAAGTCAGTCAGTAGTAGGACTCAGTATCCTTCAGTTTCTTATTAAATCTGATACACCATGTAAAATTATTTACATCAAGTAATTTGCTTCAGAGCAATATGCATCAATAAGGACAGCATCCTTTGTCTGCTCCTAAATATTTGGCTACCTGAATAGCTGTTGAGAGGAATGGAAAATTCCACAACACCTTTTTTTGCAAAATCTCCATTTATGAGAAACAAGAAGTAAGCAGGGAATATATTGCATTACACTGTAATGGTCTGAAAGTA